GGGTTTTATTGATTTCAGCCCAAAGGGCCAACTGGGTGTTACATTTTAATTATGTCTTAGCAGAGTTATTCTGTGTAAGGTAGGAGGCATATGCTAGCCTAACATCCTCTAGTTAATAACAATTGCACATCCTTGAACTCACTGGAGATATATAAAAAACCATTTTCAGACACAGAGGATTCCCTTACAATGTCAGGATAATGTAGTCATTCTATTTATCAACTATGTTCATCCTCAACATGTACTGTTTTGGTGCTGGTGAGAAGTACTAAGCTGGACTTCTTAAATGGTAATGTTTGATTTACTAGTTAAATCTGGTTAATATGCACCAAAACTGTTTTTTATTCCATTGTGATGTTACCAAAAGCGTGGTAGGAAGAAAAGTAAAGAAATGATGAATCCTATTAATATAATTTGAAATAAGTGTCCAAACTTCAGGACAAAGAAATCCTTTACATAGATGTATGTAACTTTAAAAATATTTGTCTGGACTGTGCAATAGAGCAATGTAAGAAGGGAATGCAGGTGAGGTCTTCTTATGCCATTCAGAGAATGGGCACAAAGAAAGTCTCTTGAGATTCCTCTAAATTAGTGAGGTTATACATGCTAAGGAGGTGTAGGGCCATAGCTGTGTCCAACCTCTCTTCAAACAGGTCAATGAAACTGTCCCTTCTCAGTGGGAATTCACTTTGCACCCTGTAAAAGGTTATGTAAAATCCTCATCCATCACTGGAGCAATTATGCTCCCTTGAAGAACTATGTCTCCAGGAACATATCCTGAAATGGTGTGCCTGTAAATTGTCCTCAGCTCATGCTATGGCATCCATACTTTGTCTTCTTGTATTATTGCAGGAGTTGGCAGTGACTCCTGGATAGGGGTTGTTTCTAAGACCTTCTATGATAAAAAGTGTTTGCAACCTTGATTTAAGAAGTTACCTCCTCCATTCCAAACCTTTGAAACTCAGCAGCTTGAGGATAGCTTTGAGGACAGAGGTGCCTTCTGCACTTTCCGCAGCATTTCATTCAAATCTGGCAGTGTTAAAAATCCTCATTTCCATCTGGGGCTTGCTTTGGACCTTGTGATTACAGGAGCTAAGCATGAAGTCCTGATCACACACTTTGTCTTACCGCTTTTTTTCAGCACACATTGCACTGGGAATCCCTTGGAATGGAGATTCGCAGAAAATATAACTTATTTTTCCTTATAAGAAAAACTCTAGAAAGTCATATATACAGGACAGAGGATGTTGCTTAGGAAATGAAGCAGGATTGCATTGCAAATGAGGTTTTTGTCTGTTTGCCCCTTGTCTCACTTGCTGAAGAAGTTGGAAGCTGCATAGAAAATGAAGCAGGTGAACAGGACTATTGTCAGGTCCTATGCAGTATTATTAAAATGGTGTCCCTATGCCTGATGGCACCTGTGGGAAGAGTGTGATTTTGTTCTGATGTGATTTTATAATATTCATCATTACACTAAGGAAATATTTGTAAAGCAGATTTTAAATTAATGTTCTGTAAACTAACACAGTAAATCCAGAAACTGACATGCTATACCTGGAGTTTCCAAATGCCTGTTAAATAGCTTCATTACCACTTAATTGGCTCTTTCACAGGTTCAGTGTTCTGCCAAAGCTATAGCAGGCTTTTTCTCTTTTAAGTTAACTAGAGCAGCTCCAGAGAAAGTGAAGCCATGGAACAGAGAAAGGAAGAGGCATGTGGGTAGACCCTAAGACATAGTGGTTCCCAAACTGTTGCACTTAGAGGTCTGTGGAGATAAGGAAGTAAGTCTGAGGCAATATACTCATCATTGAGATTCAGGTAGTCATGAGTTCTAATCTTTGAGTTGCCCTTAATATATTAGGCAGCCACTTTTTCTTTGCCTTGATTTCCCTGTCTGTTAAATACAGATGAAAATTCTCCATCTCACAGGGAATTCTGAAAATATATCCATGGCATGACATGAAGAATGCCTTAGAAAAGCCTCTGAGGTAATTAATTCAGTGTTCAATTCAGGCTTTAGATGACTTGTACAGTATGGCTACACTGCATTCCTCCTTCGAGAGAAGAAAGCAAATGCAGCTAAGTGAAATTGCAAATGAAGCACGGATTTGAATTTTCCATGTTTCATTTGCATAATTGCATCCAGGCGCTATTTCGAAATACCCTATTTTGAAAAAAAGAAACGCTGTCAAGACGCAGTTATTTCTAAAGAAAATCCTTCTTTTCAAATTACCCTTACTCCTTATAAAATGAGGCTGTGTCTGCACTATACCCCTCTGTTGGCAAAGGGACGTAAATGAAGCACTTCGAAAGTGCAAATGAAGAGGGGATTTAAATATCCCACACTTCATTTGCATAATCATGTCATGGCACTGTTACGAACAAGCACCACATTGAAAGTGAAACCACAGTTTAGATGCGTTTTTTTCGACAACAGGGCAATTTTTCGAAAGGAGTGCAAGATCTTTTGAAAAATCGCCCCATTGTTGAAAAAACTGCATCGAAACTGTAGTTTCTCTTTCGACATGGCTCTTGTTCCCGCCATGACGTAATTATGCAAATGAAGTGTGAGATATTTAAATCCCTGCTTCATTTGCACTTTCAAAGTGCTTCATTTGCATCCCTCTGCCCACAGAGGGATGTAGTGTAGAGATTGCCTCAGGTTTAAGGGTAATTTCAAAAGCAGGGTTTTCTTTTTTCTTTTTTCGAAATAGGGTATTTTGAAATAGCACCTGGATGCGATTATGCAAATGAAGCACGGGAAATTCAAATCCGCACTTCATTTGCAGTTCCGGTCAGCTGCATTTGTATTCCTCTTACGAAAGAGAAATGCAGTGTAGACATACCCCTAGTTAATAAAGCATGGGGCCACACATTAGATAGTGATGATAAACAAAGGTATTCAGTGGCCAGTCATTCTTTTATTGTGAGACACAGTTCCTGTAGAAAGAACCTAGTGACTAATTGCATAATCACATACTAGCATAATGTATATTCACAAGAAGAAAGAATTAAGGTTTTATGCATTTCCTAACATTTGGGTGACTGACTTTGCAACTTACATAACTGTGTTTTAAGCTGCTTTTCAAATTAATATCAGACTAAAACTTATTTTAAATGTCCATTCAAGGGACCATGTTTATAAAAAGTTTCATATAGTCTAATGAAAGTAGACTAGAATGGTATACAATATATTTGGGGATGTTTAAGACAGTTTTCTTATCCAAATTTCAGTATAAATAAAAAATGTTTGTGCAAATTTTATCAGGGAATGGATAACTCTTTAAATTACTATTTCTATAGGTCCTACAATCATTTGTTTAATATCCAGTTTCCCAGTCCTCTATTTAGACATTTTTTCATTCATTTGGAATCCAGGATGAAGTCCTTAATCTTTGAAAATTGCAGTTCTATTTGATTAAATGTATATTTGTGTTGCATTCAGATTCATTGTGAATTCACATACAGTTTTGTTCTAAGATGAGATGTATCCTTTGCCTCATCTCTACACTTGATTCTAGAAGATATGGGCTATATCCCATAGTTAGAATGTGGCCCAGACACCTATGTTTAACCTTATGTTGACCTTGAAGAATAGCAAACAAAGGAACAAGCCCTTATTGAACTAAGACTATATTATTGGCTTGAAACTATTAAATTTGTCTATGATTCTGGAAAAAAATGCATATACCTTCATGAAAATAAAATATATGTATGTAACCATAGAATATGTATAATATGAGAAGACAATGGTACAGGAATATGCCCATTGAGAATCTCTCAGCCAAAGAGTTAATTTAAAAAGGCCATCAAAAATGGAAATCCTATAAACAGTCTTATTTTTTTAATAAAAACCTGTGAGTGGCAGTCAGAATGCAAGGAAAATGAGTTTGATCAAATCAAGATCCTGGTGGGGAGGAATTTGAATTTTTTAAATTCTAATTTTGATTCTATTTACAGCTTAATGTCATGAGAAACACAGCACACTGACTTTTTCAGAAAAATGAAGGAAATTACTAAAGAAATAAATGGAAAAGTATCCTTATTTAAATCAATGTGGCATCAACAAGGTTATTCTGCCAAAACTACTGCCCACTTCATATTAATACTATAAAGAATTATATAAAAACATGTACTGTGTCAATAAAATCAAATGAAAGGTAGCAACCCTTGTTTAATTTTCCAAGCAACATGTTTTGTTGGAGTGTTTGGTTTTTTGTTTTTTGTTTTTGTTTTTGGTTGGTTGGTTGGTTGGTTTTTAATGATGTAGTAGCTCTGCTGTGATATTCAGTATGTTAACTGATCTTCCCTCCATGGGGTAAAATATCCAATGAGGATACTGCATGGAAGTCCTTGTATTCTAAGTGATCTAGCATGATTACATTTGCTTGCATCTACAATGATAAGAGAGATACATATATTAAAATGCTGGAAGGCTAATGCACAGAGTGTCTGGATAGACAGGCTTTAAGACCCAGGGGTTGTATTTGTCGAGAAAGGAAATGTTGCTTTTTGACAGATGAGAGAAATCCCCCTCAGTGCTGGCCATGAGAGGAGAGAAGTGAAGTCAGTCACCTGGTGGTGAAGGACAGTAAAACAGGAAAGAAGGGGGAAAATCTCTCTCCCTTCTCTCTCCTGCAAAGAGATCCACCTTCTGTTTTCCTTTCAACTCTTTTAGCATAACCTTCAAAGGAGACCATTCCCTACAGACTTTATTATCTTTATTTTATTGAGAAAATACTTTAAGCGGCAAAGCATTTTTATGTATATGCAAGACTTGGGGGAATTTTATTTTTCCGGTGAAATTGATCATTGCTAATGACTCGGGCTCTCAGGTGCTAAATTAGCTACCAGAATAAGCTTGATGGAGACAGGTTTTTGTGATATACTCTTCTCTTCAATTTGAACACATTTGCCTGAAACGTGCTGCATGATGCTGTCCAGGGAAGCAGTTTTTTTTTTCCTTGGGATGCAGCAATTCGCTGGTTTCTAAGCTTATTGCAGACGAAGAAGTCATCTTAAACTGAGTGGATTGGGGGTGGGGATTTCCTCCTCTTTTCATTGCCACTGGACATTATCGGCGAAAGATCACCTGTCGCTTTAACCCGTAAGGGAGTAAAGAAGTGATTATTTTATTTATTTGTAACCGGTGGAGGCGTGATCACGGAGAATGATACTGAGAGGAGCTGCCAGGGTTTGGAGGACAAGGCTGAGTTTGGGCTGGAAACTCAGAGACTAGATTTTAAAAAAAAAATTGGCACAACTTCCCGTGTCTATCTCAGTGTCGTTCGGTTTCACTCTATGGACAGATCCACAAACCTGGACATTGAGGAGCTCAAGGTACGTGATGCTCCGGGTGTTTGATTTCTCTCCTCCCCTCTTCTGCCTTGCTTCTGGCTGTGCCAGAGGAGTTGAAGGCGCTTCGGGTGCCGGTGAGTGGGCATGGGGGTGGAGGGAATGGAGGCTCACAGCAGTCCTTTGAGGAGGGGTGGGGGGGAGGAAGAGGAGGATCTCTGGAGATCAGATTGTATAGTCGGGCTTCGCTTCTTCCTCCTCTGCTTTGATGATAATCATAATAGCCCCTGTCCTCTCGTCAGTTACATCAGCACTTTGGGCACAGAGACAGATCGCAGTGTGTCCATTAATCGCACCCTGGGAAGCAGCAGCAGTAGATTTTTTCCAGCGCCTGCTGATTTTCCAGTGGAAGTTCGCTCTCAAGGCTCCCTCCCTCTCCCAGACTGGGCATCTCCTGCTAAAAGCTTTATTTTTCTATACAGAAGCAGCCTGCAGAGATAATGCCCCGCCGTGGTTGGGCGGCTGATCCCCGAGCTGACGCCTTCGCTGCTCCTTATCCCCGCTCGCTCGCTCTCCTGCCCCGGCTCTGTCGGTATCATTGAGCTCGGAAAACGAGCGACAGCGACTCCTGGGGCTCCGTGGGGAGCTCAGGGACAGGGAGCCCACAGCGCCGAGGCCAGGGAGGGGGCTTGCCGGGGCTGCAGGAGTAGGGACTGTGCTTAAGGACGCAGCCCTGTGGCCTTCCTGAGCAGCCTAACTTTGCATGGGGCCCGTGTTGTGTCAGCATCTCGCTGCCCAGCCCGTTTTGCTCGCCGGGAGCCTGCCTGGGCGCCGAGCATGCCCGGTAGCCCCCTGCCCTCAGCCCCAGCAGAACCGGGGTATTGACCGAAGCAGGGGACAGGAGCCGGGGCGGGGAGCAAAAAGGGGAAAGGAGCAAAAGCAGGAGCTAGAACAACGAACCCGGGGGAGGTCTGGAGGCTCTTCAGGGGTTGCCCTGGGCTGTGAAATGGGGCTGAGGCGGGTTTGAGAGAGGGAGACCCCAGCACAGCACTGAGGAGAGTAAACCCCGCTGCACAGTCAGGGAAACAACAGTGAGGGAGGGTGGGTGGGGGCTTCCCGCCTGGGGGTTTCCCGCCCCCCCTCGTATACCGCTCTAGAGGCCAGAGCTGCTTCCCCAAAGCTGAACTGCGGAGTTCGCGCCTCATTTCGCAGCGAGCGTCAACTCAGCCAAGTCTCCCAGAGCTACCGTGGGGGTCTCTGCTTCTGGAGATGCGCCGAGTCGAAAAGTAATTGGAGACGCGCCTGGCTTGTAACCCCCGCCCCTAAAACATCGGAGTTGTCAGGGCCAGGCCGCCTGCACAGCAAGGGGGTGACACGCCTCTTTGAAAGTCACTGGGCAGCAGCCAGTCACCCACTTCCCCACCCTGAACCGAGCCTGCTCAGAGGGATCCTCTGGTGAAGCCCCGCCCTTCTCGGAGTTTCAGGAGTAACCCCAGAGTTCAGCTCAATCTTCGGACAGGGGTAGACGGACGTGGGATGGGCGCTGCAGTCGAGCTTCTGTAGGAAAGTGTAGTTGAAGTGACGGGGAAAAGCGTCACTGGAGACCGTGTGAATCCTAAAAATGGGCTGCACTTCGCAGGAGTTGCCACTGTTTGGAGACTGCCAGCTGCTTCACCGCTGCAAGGGAGTTTCCCTTAATCCTCTGGCGAGCTACTTGGCAACTTACGGCCAGTGTTGCAGAGATCGTGGAGTAGGCGACCTTGAGAAAAAGCAGTGTGGGTTATCGCAATGCTGCTTTTCTTTGGTTAGCTTAGAGGGGGCCACAGGGATTGCTTTTCCCATACGAATAAGATGTGCAAAAACCGACCTTCCCAAAGCGCTATACCTCTCTTCACTTCGCCTCCTGCTTTCCACCTCTCAGTTCATTTTACTTGTATGTGCATATTTAGAAAAAGCTTGTGGGGCGGACGGCTCTCCAACTTTTAGCGATGCACTAAGCAATGGAAAAATTCTTTTACTTATAGCACCTAGCATTTGTTGCTGTGACGGGTGGGGGACTAGTAAATCAAATTGAGCCCTGGTGTACCTATTCTCAAGTCAGTGGGATGGATACAGTGAGCTAGATGCTCTGTCCTGTTATGCCCCTTTTAGTAGCAATCCAGTGATCCAAAGTATCATTTTATGGACATCTTGGAATTGCCCCACATCAGCCATTATCTTGCCAGTCCAGAGGATATGGACAAAACTCTATCAAACACCAACAAATAATTCCTAGCTGGCTAAATTGTCTCCACAGTAACCAGACACAGTAAAGAGCAGCCCTGATGCTGCTCTAAATTGTGCCAAAGCTGAATTAACTCCTTTCCAGCTCTGGGAGGATCAGGGAGCACCAAAGGTGGCATAAACTGTCTTTCAAGTCCAAGCTCAACCGGATCAAAGGATGTAGCTCCATATGTTTAGACATCAGAAACCTAGAGCTTCACAGAATACAGCTATCTCCTTGGACCTCCCTTCTCATGTTACTCTGAGGGCTGACATGCACAGTATGTTCCTAACCCAAGACCATGTAGCTACTTTTTCCAGGAATTTTTAAAAAGGGAACAATGGCTTAGTGCAGGATTGTGGAGTTTTATAGTAGTACCAAGTTTATTTTATCTAGTGTGGGCAAGTGAATTTAGGAAATAACAAAACTAAATACAGGTTAATACATATCAGATGTGCCTGGTAATGTCATTTCAATACTTTATACAAAAGGTAAAAAGTCTGATAAACTGAGGTGAGACTGAATGTCCATTTGAAATGTATGTTTTTTTATTATGATTGCTATGATTTCTATATCCATTATGAAAGCTCTGGGTATGTGGTTTATTATTATTATAAACTGAAACAAAAATGGTGTGCAAGACCTACTAATGAGGTTAGGAATGACTTTCACTTGATTAGTCTGTACACGAATTCCTGAAGAAACAGATCAGAACAGGGGAGGGGGAGAGAGAGTGTACTCATCCAGAGATTTTTGGACTGCTCTGCTTTTCCTTTTGATCTGTCTCATATTTTGTCTCAGATGGCATCTGTGAACTTTACTCTGACTTTTAATTCACAAAACTATAGTATTTTCTTTTAAAGTAGTACCATCATAAAAATGAACTCAATTATAGTTATTTTCTTCGAAGATTTGTATTATATCCTGAATTTTAGTATTTTGAACTGATTCTATTTAAGGTGTGTGTAGATAGGTATATTGATACATCTAACTCACATGTACAAATATGTATATAGGCACTGTATACGTGAGTATATTTCTATAGGTTTTTTGACTGGCATATAGTAATACATGTATGTTCCTTTGTATTCATGAACTCTTATATGTTGAGCACTGATGTTTAAGTTCCTATTCTTCGTAAAGGAATAGCGCAGTTTGGCTTTATAAATATTAGAGATTTTTGAGTTTCCTGGATTACAATAATTTGTGTGACACTCATTAATGCTGAATAGATACAGATTTAGTCCTTGAAAATTTCCTGACTGCTTGGTGTACAGGTCTTACAGCATATTTTACAGTCTTTCCTTTTATGTTAATTTAGTCATCAAAATATGTACAGACTTCGATAGTAGGTGATAGCATTTTACACACTCCATAAAGCACCTGGAAGAAAGTTGCTATGTACATGTAAAGTATTATAAACGTGGTATTGTTTGCATGCTATAATAACTCTGTTTTTAAATCAGTGCTTTCTCCCTGAAGTTCCTCTTTAGACGCTAGAATTTTCCGTTAGAATCCCAAGATGTTTGTTATTACTAGAAATGTGTTTGGGTGCTTTGTAATTATTGTCACTTACTCTGAAAGATCAACTAAAATACAGTACACTATTTCTGAAAAACATTACAAACCTAGCCATGTTACTTGATGATAATTATCCTTCGAGTCTGTTATAGCTTCACATTTCCACATGAAATAAAACTACCAAACAGCACTGGCCACAGATGATCTATGATGATAAAACTGTCCAGTGCAGAACAGATTCTGTATTAAGAAGATTACTTATGTCATGAGGAAACTCAAAGAATCCAGAACCATTTGAACAAGAGGTTGATTCAACAATATTGTGGGCTTGAATCACTTCACAATTTAAATCAAACAGGAGAGCTAAAACTCCAACAGTTCTGAAATATTTTTTAATAAGATACAGCCAAGGAAAGTCATGCTTAGTAGGGTGTAGGAGGATTTTTGATGAGTGTAAGTAGGTGGTTATATTTCTGTTATAAATTAGTCATTCCATAATGAAAAATAGTACTCTCTAACAAATGACATATTTTTAGCACACTCTATTTCACTTTGGCTTAAGAGAAGGGCATCTACATGTGGATAATGAATTGTCATCTTTTATGAACCACTCTTTCTTCCCTTTCCATTCCAAGCCACTTGGCTCCCCATTTTTTTTAGGCAAAGCCCATCCTCAGCCTTGGGTAAAGGTAGTTAACCTTTGCAGTCCACAATCAGAAAATTTCATACTTTTCCTAATCAAAAGTTGAGCTGAAATGGGTTTAAAGAACGAAGCATGCAAATGTTTTCTCTTCTTATCCCCTCTGTTTGGGTTCAATCTCTAAATACTTTTAGAAACTGGAAATCTGGTAATTGACGATGGAAAGAAATATGTGCAAAGTATAAAGTTTATGTTCTTATGACACAGAAAAAAGCCAACACAATAAGTGTGCTTCCAGTACTCATTTTAGAAATTACTGATCCGCTGTCATTACTAAGAAAAGTTGATAGTACAGTATCTCATTCTGCATTTCTGCAATAAACATTACAGCTTTGCTGAGCTCCATACTTTTCCAATTGAAAATATATCAATATCCCAAGTTGTAGTTTAAAATGAAAATACCTCTTACTTCCATGTTCTCCTGGGTTTTCCTACATTTTCTGGTTTTCCTCTAATGATTTGTGTACATATTTTGCCTGATTTAAAAACATGAGAGATTTATGAGACGGTCAGAAGTATTAATTTGAAGTTCTTCTGCAATTGAAGATAATCTCCTAAACT